CCCCAAAACCCCAAAACCCCAAAACCCGAAAACCCCAAAACCCCAAAACCCCAAAACCCCATAAATGTGGCGCTCAATTGAAATTATTATAAATGTATTTAATTTACGTTACTTGGTTTGTCCTCAAACTAGCAGGATTGTTCCTAGCAGCCTTCCTGGTGTATAACCTGTAAGTAAACACTAGAGAGGTCTAACTTATAGTAGGAAGTTCATCTTCAAGCCTTATTTCTCACGCAGAAGGTTTAAGAAGTACAAAAATGTGTATATGTATGATAAAGCTCCTTTTGTCATTGGTGACGCATCGAGATATATGGAAGATATGAAAAAAAACAGAGTTAATTTCTACCATCAGATAGAATATGCAATGGAACTTAAAGATATTGACTTTAGAGTATCCTTCATTGCTGATAGGACCTTTATCAATGTGTTCTCCATGAGAGCTTTGAAAGAGTTTGTCCAAAAGGTGCCCAAGTTTATTGACAGAAAAAGCCTTGCTAATGTAGGATTTGGGAAGATTTTTCCACGCTCCAGCGTTCATCAGAAAACTGGAGCAGAATGGAGGAAAAGAAGAGAGTCTTTTCAAAAGCATATCGGGATTAATTTCTCTTCCAAGCACATTCCTCTCATGATCGACTGTATTGGAGATAGACTCAACACCTGGAAGGATGGTAAGTATTTTCACTAACTTTAGCAAAATCACAGAAAAATGACGATTTATTGAAAGATATGGCTGATACTACTTTTGCTGTGATCACAAAAGTGTTCTTCGGTGAGAATATCTCTGAAGAAATGGGAGAGATCGAGTATATCGATCCAACAGATAGCACAACGAAGATGATGAAGTTTGATGAATTCTATACTAACTTGGCCAAAAGTTTGATGGGAAATAGATTTACTCTCAAAGGGCTTCTTCTTCCTTTCCTTGATTATTACAATCTGACAAAGCCTTACAGTACAAATTACCAAAATCTGCAGAAATTATGGAAGGTTCTTTCAGAATACTTAGATAAGCACCCTGAGCAGGATTCTGTGTATAACAAGTTAATCAATCAAAAAGGATTGACGAAGGACTATTCATTCCAAGATTCGTTAGGCATACTCTTTGCTGGACATGAGACTTCATCTCATACCATATCTAGCGGGCTCTACTTTCTATACAAAAATCCAGTCATTAAGGAGAAGCTGATGGAGGAACTTAAAGAATTTGTGGGGAAGTCCCATGATGAAATTAAAACACTCTTAACCAGAGAGAAGATTGACAAGCTCGAGTATCTTCATCTTGTGATTAAGGAGATTTTGAGAATCGATCCTCCAGCCATGGATGCCATTCCTTATGAAGTTATCCAAGATACTGAACTCTGTGGGGTTGAGTTTAAGAAAGGAGATATGCTCAATATGAACATTTTGTCAAGACATTTTGATCCTGCTCAATGGCAGGAACCATTGAAATTTATCCCAGAAAGATTTGACCCAGAAAGTGAGTACTTTAATGCTCCAGAGACCAATAAAGGAAGAGATCCATTCGCTTGGATCCCTTTCTCTGTTCATGTGAGAAAATGCTCAGGACAGACCTTCGCAATGTTGGAGGCTAAGGTATTTATCCTATACCTCCTGTCAAGGGTTGAGTTTACATTCCCCAAGGAGTTGTTGGAGTCAGACACTTCCTTCTTCTCCATCGTATCGCAACTAAAGTTAAACTTTAGTGCGAAACTGAGAGAATAGTTAAATCAGATTAGATTCAATCTCAGCTTCCTTCTCTGGGGTTTTGGGGTTTTGGGGTTTTGGGGTTTTGGGG